ATATATATACACACACACACACATATATATATATATATATACACACATATATAAATATTATTTGTGTGTGTTTGATTTATTGAAGTAAATCAAACCTATCAAAGACTCCTAATAATACTATTGTCCAGTTGGGTTTGAGAATACAACACAATATACACTATATCCATATTTATATCTGTATATCTATATCTAAGTCTCAGATTAGTATCTGAAGTGGGGGACAGTCTTGTGGGACTGAGCCTTAATTCATAGGAGAGAGGAAGAAAAGAGAGATCAGGGTAATTAGTCTCTGTAGTACTCCTATAAGGTCACCTCATGACAGCTATGTTATTCATCTGAAGATTACTGCTTCTCTCAAGGAGTCTGGCAACTAGTGCCTCTCTCTCTGCAGGCCTGGGTGGTATAACTAAGTGGGGGTTAACCACTACTACTTGTGATTCCCATGTATATCACTCATATCTCTGTGAAGAATCTCTCCTGGAATTATTCCATCTTGAGTGTGTCATCTGTTTTCTGCTGGGACCCTAAGACACACCAACTTCAAGTTAGAAATCATTACTGTTTATTTTAAACTAAACTTATTTTTTCTTTTTCTTGGTACTGGGGATTGAATCCAAAGGTACTTTACCACTGAACTACATCCCCAGCCCTTTTTGTTTTGAGACAGGGTCTCACTAGGTTGCTTAGAGCCTTGCTTAGTTGTTGAGGTTGGTCTTGAACTTGCCTCAGCCTTCCTAGCTGCTGGGATTATAGGCATGAGCTGCTGCACCAGATATTTTTTTTTATTTTTAATTACATTTGTTATACTATTGCTGATAGTCAAAAGGGAAAGATTTTATTTGAATGCCTTAGAAATAAGATATCTCCTTAGGGTAGATGTTCATAAAAGTAAGTTATTCAAATTTTTATTAAGCACCTAAAGGTACAATTTTAGCTAGCATGGAGTGCTTACTGCATGCCAAGTATCTTACTAAGCATTTTGTGTACTTTCTGTTTTTTGATTCACTTAACAATACTATGGAGTAGAGAACATCATTATTATCCACCTTTCACAAAGAAAAAACTGAGACTCAAAAAATTTAAATAAATAAATTGCCCAAAACAACATAGATAAGAAGTGGGGAATCAAGATTAAAATTAGGCAGATGGAGCCTCAGAATTCATTTGATAACCTCTATACTGCCTCCCTAACATTAGCTGAACTAATGCATGAAGTAAGATGGTCCTATATATAGTAAGGTTTTAGCTTAAGGGTAGAGAAGATATAAATGTAAGTCCCATTTGGAGTGTTCCTAATATAGCTTTTGAAATGAAAGTAAATTATAAATTGTGATCTGAATTGTAGTTAATAATGTGGAAGAACTTACATTTTCACCAGTAGTAATTTTTTAAAAAATTTTTATTAGTTATTGTTGAACTTTTATTTATTTATTTGTTTATATGTGATGCTGAGAATCTAACCCAGTGCCTCACACAGGCTAGGCAATTACTCTACCACTGTGCCACAGCCTCAGTTCTTACCAGTGGTAATCTTTTTATTTTTTTAGTTTTTATTTGGTACTGGGGATTGAACCCAAAGATGCTCCACTGAGCTCAGTTTATTTATTTATTTATTTTTAATTTTGAGACATGGTGTTATTAAATTGCCTGCCTCAGCCTCGCGAGTCTCTGGAATTACAGGTGCACACAGTACTAATTCATATTCTCTCTCTCTCTCTCTCTCTATATATATATATATATTTTTTAGTTGTCGATGGATCTTTATTTTAATTACATGTGGTGCTGAGGATCGAACCCAAGAGCCTCCTTCATGCAAGGCAAGTGCTCCACCACTGAGCTACAACCCCAGCCCAGTACTAATTCTTTTTATGTATTTTTCTTGAAACATTTGTGATTTGAAATATGTTGATTCTGTCATTTCAGTTAGTATTGGACTGTTAGTAAAAGACCATCAGAAAAATAGTGGCTTACACAAGATAAAAGTTTACTTCTACCAAGGAATAATCTAGCGGTTCTCTGAATATGAACATAGTTAATAAAACTGTACTCGTTACTGTCAACGGATGCGTGCTGGGGCAATGATTTAGTTCTTCTGAGCACCTTTGGCAATGATGAGCCCAAGCGGCTGCAGCCAAAGGCGGGAGACTGCGGCAGGTTCCCAGCCTGCCCTCTGCGCTCGGGCCACTTTCCCGAGGAGACTACCGCTCCCAGAGTGCTCCGCGGGCCGGGAGGGCGCGGGGGCGGGGTCGCACAGTACCCGGATTGAGGCAACATGGCGATCTCCTGGTGAGTAACCTGCGAGGTAACTGCTGCCCTCTCCTCCTCTGGTGGAGGAGTCCCTCGAATTTGGGCAGGCCCAGAAGGCTTATCGGCGGGTGTTGAGGCCTTCCGCTTGTCGTAGCCTGCAGGGCGAAGCTGCCGGCATCTCCAGATGTCCATCCTGTAAAAGGGACGGCACCTGGTCGCGTGCTTCCTGTAGCGCCCCTCTAGTGCCCTGACCGACACTCGGCGGGAGCTGAGTGACCTTGCGGGTCCGCGGACTCCTCCATGTCGAAGTCCTTCGGATCGCTCCCTGAGTGTTATTCTCTATGTTGTTGGGAGTCTGTTCCACGAACCCCAGCGCCCCTGAAGCTCTCAGTAGCTTTTGCTTTGGGTGGAATTCTATGCCAAGGGACTTGCTTTCTGAAATTTGCTCCTTGAGCTGAATAGTTTGACCCTCCACTGGGTATGCTGGCCTCGGGTAGAGGGAACCTAAAGGCTCCTAAAGTCCTATGTTCTTGCTCTTGTCACAAGACGTGGGTTTGCGTTCCACCCATGCCATCTACTGAACGGTGAGAATAGGGGAGCGAATTAATCGTTTGAGGTCCCTAAACTTTGTTCTTAATATGTAGAACGAAGATGCCTACTTTACAGATTTATGAAAGTCAGAACACATAATTGCATACGAAAGTAGGTTGTAAACTGTAAATAATACTCTTATGAACTCAGGGTTAGCCGTACTTAAGTACTAACAGGGCCAGGAATCCGCCTGTATACTTTAGCCCTGCAAAGAGGATCTGTGTCTTAATTCCCTTTCATCGTTCTCCACCGGGAGAAGGGCACGAATAGTCACCGAGTTCAGTTAAACAAAAGGGTATAGTAGTTTTGTTATTTATTCACAGCAGCTCATGAACATTGTGCTTGTTTCCCCCACTTTACCAGTGAAAAAAAATGGAGGGTCATTTAGTTAATGATTTGCCCAAAGTTTCCCAGTTTGTAACTGATCAACTCTAAAATTCTTGGAAGTAAGTCCTTCAAATTTTGTGTTTCTTCAAGGCTCAAAATAACGAAACCACACATGGTTAATATAAGAGTAAAATGAAATGGTCGTGAAAACACCTTGGAACCTTATGATGATGACATTTGTGTTTCTCTAAGTATGTGATAGGCCAAGGATAGGCCTTCTTGTTTAATATTTAGTTGAATCAGAAACAGAATATTACTCTGCGTGATGTAATAAGGTCTTGTGTGTGGTACTAGGAGGTGGTACAGGCCTGCTACTAATTATAGATGGGATGCTCAGTGTACCATTGTAAGTGACAGATTCTAAAAGCAATTACACATTTTCTGAGTATTCAGTAAGTGGAAAAAGCTGCACTGAGTGCTGAGATGTTTGCATTTAAGAAAAATAATAATGGGGTTATTATATATAAGTGGGATTTCTCATCTTAGATTTAGATATTGTTTTATGTCCTATTTAATTATGTGGAAATGCAGAGTTGTTGGAAATCCTTACTTCAAATGACTGTCCTGTTAGGGAATGCTTCCTGTCTTGTTCTTGTAGTTTATGATAGGTAGCATTGATTTTTCTTTATCTCTTAAGCAGGAATAAAAATTGATGTGCCTAGAAGTAGATTTGAAAGGTGGTTGTTCTTCAGAACATCTTTCATCATATCGTCTGATCATCTTAAAACACCATGGCATCGATAGCATTCAAATGGGTGATATCAAAGAGAATTCTCTGGAAGCATTTATTTCCAGTTCAAAGTGAGTTATTAAATTTTTAATGTTTAAAAAGAGTTTTAAACTTTTTCAAATATAGAATATTTAACACTTATGTATGCCTATTTGCAGGAATGTTTGCAATAAAGAAAAAGCGATGAAAACCTAAATGTCAATCAAAAGGGGGTGGATTACTATTGCTACATCTTAACTATAAATGTCATGACACTGTTTCCAACATGAAAAGTTCTCCAAATAGAAGAGAGGGGAAAAGATGTCAGAACAGTATCTATCATGTGATTCTGTGGTTGTTTTTTTTTTAATGTTTTTTTTAGTTGTTGATAGACTTTTTAAAATTTATTTATATGTGGTGCTGAGAATCGAAGCCAGTGCCTCACACATGCCAGGCAAGTGTTACCACTGAGCCACAACCCCATCCCTCTGTGTTTTAAAAAGATAATGTTTGTGTGCACAGGAATGTGTGCATATGCATAAATGCAGAGTCCAATATGGTTATTTGTGTAGACCACAAGTGGTTTTAGGTGATGGACTAATAAAGGGTAACTTTCTCTCATTTGGATCATTTATACTTCGTATATTTACGCTTGTTACTTTTTTAAAATTGCAAAATAAGTCTAATCTTTTTTTGGGGGGTGGGTGTGGGGTGGGTGCTGCCCAGAATTGAACTCAGGGGCACTCAACCACTGAGCTTCATGCCCAGCCCTTTTTTGTATTTTATTTAGAGACGGGGTTTCATTGAGTTGCTTAGTGCCTCACTGTTTCTGAGGCTGGCTTTGAACTCACAATCCTCCTGCCTCAGCCTCCTAAACCGCTGGGATTATAGGCATGTACCACCGCACTCAGCTCACAGTCTAATCTTAACAACGATAATCATTGTTAATATTTTTGTGTATTCTCCTTGACTTCTTCCTATAGACATAGCCATTTCAAAAAACAAAATGTAATTTCTACTTTTGTTTTCTAAAGAATTGTTTAATTTTAATTATCTTGAAAAAGCCTATTGATATATATTTGATAGTCAGAGCATGGACCCATATAAGTAAATACAATAATCTTATTTCTCAACCAACCACAACTGTTTTTTGCTTTCCTGTTTTTTTTTTTTTTTTTCCTGGAAATTGAATTTAGAGGTGCTTCAACACTGAAGTATATCCCCAGCTCTTGTTGTTTTCTATTTTGAAAAGAGTGTCACTAAATTGTTAAGGCTAGCTCTGAATTTATGATCCTCATTCCTCAGCCTCCCAATTAGCTAGGATTACAGATGTGTGCCACCATGCCCAACTTTTGCTTTCATTTTTCTCTGTCCCACAGTACAATTTACCTACTTCCCTCCATCCCCTCCTTTTGAGACAGAGTCTCACTAAGGTGCTGGCCTCAAACTTGCAGTCTTCTTGCCTTAGTCTCCTGAGCCTCTGGGATTACGGGCATGCACCACCATGCCCAGCTTCCTTTTCCTGTATTAATTCTGTTTACCTATTTCTAAAGTACATATGGTTAAAAAGCTACAGTAGGTATGCTTTTTAATGTTTAGCTATGTTAGCCAACTTTTCTTTACATCTCTGCTTGACTTTAATCTCTCCTTCATATTTCCTATTTACTACTCTTTGTAATTGAAAGTTTATTTATTGAGTTAGAGGAAGAGAGCTATTTGAAGACTAGGGCAAAAAAGCAATGAATAGGTAATTTGGGGGCTTTTGAGGCAAGGAAAAAATCGTTTGCCCACTAAACTTTTTTTTTTTTAAATAATGTTCACAAGTTTACTAAATTCTACTTTTATTTTTATATTTTTGGTACTGGTGATTGCACTTGGGGCACTTTTCCACTGAGCTATATGTCCTGACTATTTTTTTTTGGAGACAGCGTTTTACTTAGTTGCTGAGAGTTTAGCTAAAGGTTCTTGAGGCTGGGTTCAAACTTGCAATCCTCCTGCCTCAACCTCTGGAGTTACTGGGATTACAGACATTCTACTAAATCCTTTTATAGGAAACCAGGAAACCTTTGTCCCTGCACACCGTTCTTCCATTTCCCCTCTTTATAAAGGCTCAGAGCATTATAATTATCATATCATTGAAAATATAATCAACTTATAATTAATTAAATACAGAAGGAGATTGCTGAAGACTAGCTATAAACTAAAACAAGAGTCAGAACAAAAATTGCAGTCATCTTTTGAATTTCTAGGAGCATTTTCATTGTTGAGAATTGGGAGAAGGGCTCCTGCTGTTTAGCTTCCCATTTACCTTTACAGGAACCTGGACCTAAAGTGGATGAGGAGTTAGACCTGATCAGCTTTTATACAGCCCGTGCCTTAAAACAGCAATTAGTCTTTATGCAGGTTACCTGAGAAACGGTTACTCCATCCCTGGATAACTAAAAATTATTACGTGTCTTTTTACTACATTTCCCCCTGCATATGTATTGTGTCTTTTTTGATGTCCCTAGTTCCTCATATATTATAATAGAGGATAAATAAGTGATTGTTTAATTTATATGAATGGATTGGAATTATTGTCAGATAATTTTAAAGAGTTAATTTAGGTTCCTCAAGAAAATCATTCTATTATCATTCAGTCATCTCAATACTCAGGGACTATCTACCTTCTTTTATGAATCTATTATCATTTATGCAGCTATTATCATAAATATTATTATCAAAGGTAAAGTATTATTACTGATATTGTTGTTTTATATGGAAAGGAAGGACATTAAGATTGGAGGCAAAGCAAAACCCATGATTTGGGAGAGAAAGTATAATGACTAAAAAAAATAAAAGGGCCTCCGCATATTCCAGAAGAGCATTTAAGACTTTCCAAAATATATAGCCAACATGGAAATGTAGAATTTTATAGTTTTAAAAAACATATTAATCCATTTAGTCCTTATAATAATTAATATGGGTGGAAAAGGGGTTAAAAAAAAGGTATAGCAATATCATATGAAGCATTGATTTAGGGTCATGTAAAAGAGACTCCCCTATGATAGAGGTTATCAGGGAGGGAGAGTAAAAAGGATTTCATGGATGAATATACAACTTTGAAGTTGAGTGATTGTTGAGCAAAGTGTGAATGGTGTTGTATACTGGAGACATGGAGAGGAATGGAGGTAAGTCATAGTCCCATGTAACTGGAACAAGATGCTCTGTTGAGAGATTGATTCTTGGCTAAAGCCAAGACACATTCAGAATTTGCTTTTAATTATACTGAACTTGCCAGGCACTGTGGTGCATGCCTGTAATCCCAGCAGCTCAGGAGGCTGAGGCAGGAGGGTTGCAAATTCAAAGCCAGTCTCAACAACATAGTAAGGCCCTCTCTCAAAATAAAAGTTAAAACAGATTGATGATGAGACTCAGTAATTAAGCTTAATCCCTGGTACAAAAAAAAAAAACAACAACAACAACTATATTGAGCTACCTCTAATTTTGTGTGTGTGTGTGTTTAAAGATATCCTTTCTTTGAACATAAAAGGACTTTCTGCAAATTTTTAAAGTAATTGAAGCTCTTGAATTTCTAAGTATTGTAAAGAAGGAAAATATGCTTAAAGTTGTACAAAATTAATTTTCTTAATCAAAACATACTGCTCCTCTTTTATAAACTATGCACCTTGGGATGTCTAAATACTTCACATTCTTTATTGGAAAGATTAGAATTCCCAAATACTTTATTTTCCTTTATCATCTTTGATCTTTGTTCTTGTTACTTGCTCTAGAAGGAGCACTACTTACCCCTTATCAACTCCTCATTCCTTTATCCTTCAGAGCACCTTAGACATCATTTCTACTGGGAAGGCTTTCTTGAACCTGCACATTTGCATTTGCTAGCCTGTCCCTGTGCCATTTCTCTCCCACTGCTTACCCATGCTAACAACACTTAACCTTTATGTTGCAATTGTTTCTTATCTTTCTTACCCCCAGACTGTACCCTTTTAAGGATAGGGACTAAGTCGTGGCTCTTTCTACAAACCTTTTTTACAGTAAATAGTAAATTGGTTAAAGGAGTAAAACTAGCTTTAAATTTATGTGAGAACATATGCCCCAATTAACTAAATCTGTTTTACTGTTTGGGTTTTTGCAGACAGTGCTTTATCTGGTGTTTGTCATAAATCCACATTTTCTTCTCTTCCAGATGACTATAATTGGTATGTATTAAAATTCAATTAAAAAATAACAGTCTTTAGCTGTATCTGAAATGATTTCATTTGATTTTCTGCTTGCTTTTTTGATTATTCTTTCTTTAATTTTGTTTCAAAAAGTTATTTCCATTCTCTTATTTACTCAGTATCTGAGATTATAAATGTTTTAAATGAAATCATTATCATTGTGTTTCAGTGAATATTTAATTTGTTATAAGACAGACATGTTGTTAGAAATGCTATCTTCCTGAAGCCTGCTTTAGCTTTTTGGAGAAGTTAATTAGTTTTTATAGTTTTCTCTTTGGGTTCATATCTATTAGCTTAAGTCATTATTTATCTTTTGTTTGACATTGAATAATCCCAAATTACAAATTTTTAATTCAATAACTTTTATTTAATTCCAGTCACCATGCTAAGAATTAAGAGTAACATGACGTTGTCTTTGTTCTCCACAGAAGTCTGTTGTGCAGAAACTGCAACATATTTTCTTAAACCATGTGATTTTTTTTTAATTGCAAATTTTAGTAAAAGCATATCTGCTTCTCTTTCGATGCATTTTAATTGCACTATGTTAAGTAGTTGTAAGTTAGACTAGGTAACATTTTTTGAACCTAAAAATTTAGGTTGAGTCATATAAAGTTTTTGCATTATATAAGATTCCATCCTTCATCAAAAATCATTGGTAGTTGAAATGTTCATTGCGTTGCTGTCATGGTATGTAATCTTAAAGTCATGATGAAATAATATGGTGTGTTATTCTCTTCTAGATAAAATTTACTCACAGTTTAGGTCCTAGCCATTTTGTTGTGGTAGTAAGCTGATATATTCTGTGAGATAGTCTTGAGTTGTCGCCTATGTTAAGGTTACCAGGTTTGCTAATCCAGTGATATAGCGTCTTCTCTTTAGCAATTTGTGATTAATTAGTTTTTGCTGTAAAAATAATGATTCTGTCCTAAATAACAGTATAACTCTATTTTCTAAAATGTTCTTTTTTAGCAAAGTAGAGCTTGCTTTGACATCTGATGGCAGGACAATAGTATGCTACCATCCTTCTGTGGATATCCCATATGAACATACACAAGTATGTATGACAAAATCTACTAATAGTTTTTAATTTTCTGTTAGAAATGTACCTATTTCTTACAAATATCCAAAGAGAAGGGGATTGTCTGATTTTCTTTGTTTAATTTATCTTCTTTTGGCTTTTTTGAAAAACAGTTTTGATTTTCTTTTCATTTTTCTTTAAAGGTTTTTCTCATTATACAAAATAAACTTTAAAAAAAAATATTTATTTCTTTAGTTTTTAGGTGGATACAGTATCTTTATTTCACATTTATGTGGTGCTGAGAATCGAACCCAGTGCCTCACGCACACTAGGCGAGCACACTGCCACTTGAGCCACATCCCCAGGCCACAAAATAAACTTTTTAAATGCAGTTATGACATCATTTTTCTGGTCTAAAAAATTTAGTAGATATCTAGTTAAGGATTATATACATCTAGTATAAAACTATAAAACACATTATTCATCCCATATTATTATTTAATAAATTTTGAAAAACTTGCATTTTAGACTGTTAGTTCATAACTTTTGTACTGTTGATTCTGATAATCTTTTTTTTTTTAAAATATTTATTTATTTATTTTAGTTTTCGGCGGACACAACATCTTTGTTTGTATGTGGTGTTGAGGATCGAACCCGGGCCGCACGCATGCCAGGCAAACACGCTACCGCTTAAGCCACATCCCCAGCCCCCTGATAATCTTTTTAATGTTTGATTATTTTAATTTAATTTTTTCTAATGAATCAATATGGGTATATAGTTTAAGTGGTCCAATTTAATTTTTTTCTGTCTTCAAAGCCAGAGCACTAGATAAGAGGTTTGGGTTTATTTTTGTGTTTAATACAATTTATTTTAGTTTGACCTAACTGTTTTTATTAATTTATATTTAAAATGCTTTTTTTTTCTATTTAATATAATATAGCATCCTCCTATATTTGGCAATGTTTGGTCTGCTCTCTGAGGAAAAAATAATTAGATTATACTTAGTGGCACCTATTTTTAAAAATTATTAGAGCCAGAGTGCTAGTTAATTTGACAAATTAGATTATTCTTTGCTAATTTCTATTCCATTTTTTATTTTTTTTATTTATTTTTTTTTTTTTATGTTTTTTTTTTTTTTTTATTATTTTTTTTTTTTTTAGTTTTAGGCGGACACAACATCCTTGTTTGAATGTGGTGCTGAGGATCGAACCCGGGCCTCACGCATGCCAGGCGAGCACGCTACCGCTTGAGCCACATCCCCAGCCCTCTATTCCATTTTTTAAATCTCACTATGTTTTCTTCCTGCCTCTGCATCCTAGCCAGATATAGGCACTAATCCAGTGCTCTTTTTTTTCTTAATTTCTTTGGGCAGTATATACAAAAATAGGCCTCAGTCACTGAGTTTGAAGCTGTATAGTCTCCAGTTCACAATGTGTTATGCCTTCTTCTGTTGTTATCTTATGCATTCTTTGGTGACATGCTTAATTCTTGTAGCAGTTATTCAAAAGAAGCAGAAGATTGTCAGGTCATTTCTTAGCATTCACATTCTTATCCCTAGATGACTCTTTACATCCCTTGTGTCCTCAATTCTGAAAACTTCCCCACCATAATATTAGTATTTAACTATCATTGATAAAATCTTTTCTAATGTTTTCTCTTCTTGAGTGTTGCCTTTACCTTTTTTCTCTAATATACCTGAATGTTCCCTGGGGACATTGTTTCCCCAGCAGCCCTTTTAAATAATTGCTGTTTGTCTCCCACAACCTTTGCCACTGGGCTTAGAGGTGTAGTAGGTATTCTGTAGTTCATCATCTTCATAACCAGATCATTTCTCTTTTCTCTGACAGTTCCTAGCTTTATAACTTGTATCATCAAATCATACCATCAATTATTTTTTTCTTTGTTGTCATCTCCAACCACCAGTTCATTTCTCTTTCACCCTCATACATTTCTTGAAGGTTTGAGGCTTATATCAAACATTGTTGAATCTAAAATGTGTTGGTTATTTTTCATAGATGCAGATAAAAAGATCCTCCTTTTTATTTCTCCTGATGTGTGTTTGATTAAAATACTAATATTTAAATTTTTTTTTTTAGAATTTAGTATTTCTAGTTTAGGAAAACAAAGAGCAAAAAAATAATGATTTAGAAAACAAAGTAAAAATGTAAATAAAAATTAAGTGTTTTATTGTTGTTATTTTTTGTTTTGTTTTTGCTCTTGGGGATTGAATCCACAACTACAACTGAGTCACATTCGCCTTTTTATTTGTGATCCTTCTGCCTCAGCCTTTTGGAGGCACTGGATTACAAGTGTGCACTATCACGCCTGGCAAGCATGTCTTTTTAGTAATTGATTTAGTGGAAATTTTCAAAAGTCAAATTTTACAATTCTTAAGAAAAACAAGGGAAATTCAGGATAACAGTTCTGAGTATTTCATACAGTTGGCATTCGGTTTTATTTCATTTGTTTTATTGAAACACATACCCTTTCTTTGAAGTTTGATCAAGGAGTACTGCATTAAAGAATTCTGAGTGCCAGAGGCACTGTTATAGACCTTAAAGAATCCATTAATCTCAATGTCTTCTTATCTATGCACATAGAAATTTTTTTAAAACCACACAAAGCGGAGAGAATTTTTGATAAATTAGAATTAGACCTGCTTAGGATTAGGAAGACACAATAAGCATTTATTAATATGTGACAATAACTTTGATAATATTTAAAACATTTGCTCTTTAGCAACAGGTGTAAAAGACTTAAAAAAAGAAAACTGTTAATTATAGGCTGTAAATAGCAATGGGGATGGATTCTCCAAAGATAGAGTTTATTAGAAAATAGCAGAGCATTGCAATGAGAATACAATTGCCATAGGCCATAGTCAAATATGAGTTTATTTAAGAGTTTGAGACAAGGGGAAGTTTCCAGAGGCAAAAGGAAGAGGATTACCAAAGTTGTTTTGAAGCAATCCTTACCTATGAGGATCAGTAACAAGGGTGGAGTCAGTCCAAGGTTGACCAGACTTTAGTTGGGCAGATGGCCTGATGATATAATTTTTTGTGTAAGGTTACAGTGGCCTTTGTGCAAGGTTGTGGTTCTGGCAGAGGCTCTTGTGTTAGTTCTTGTCAGTAATGTGTGCAGAGATCCCCTTCTGAACCTCCCAGCTTTATTTATGTACTTATTTTTCTGTCAGGGTTTGACACAGTTGACCCCCTTTCAATTCTGACAACTTTCACAGCTCTAATCCCATGTATATACTAGTACCTCTCAGGGTATAATAGTAATTTTCAAAGACCTTTACTAATATTTCACTTTATACAAAAGGATGATCTTTTGCATTTACATTAAATGTCTAAGGAATACTTCCTCTTTAAAATATATATATATATCTTTATTGCTGTTTGGGGCCTTAAAAGAAATGTTAATAGCTACCTACTGTTTATGAAACTCTTAGAGCATGAGGGACAGCAAAGCATACTATGAATTATTATTTCACTTAATCCTCATTAAACTCTAATGAGACAGATATTACTTCCTGATTTTATAGAAAGGAAAAGTATGTTTAAATAATTTGCCCGAGGCCACAGAACTACTCAAAGCAGAACCAGAGACCAAAATGCATGTTCTTAACCTCTCTGTTATACTTCCTTATTCTCTCCCACATTCAGAGGGAATACTAGACCACTAATATGCAAGTGGTTTCTTTTTGGTCTAGTTATAAAGGCTTATCACAATCTGATTTCTCAAGATTTATTTTTTTTTAAATCATCTCTTAGGTGTTCTTGCATATGTTTCATCATTTACTCATCTTTCTGTGCCCCGTAAACTTCTGTCTATATTAGACTATACTATCTACCGGACTCTGACTCAACTACTTCCACTTCCACTGATATCTTCGTTACTTTGCATTTCTGAAGTCCTTATTCAATTGTGCCCTCTCCTTGTGCATATATATAGTCTTTTACAGAGGTCTTATTGTTTCCTGAACTTAAACTTGATATAAGTATGTTATAATATTTAATACAGTGGTAGGATATAGTAGTTGTCAGTAAATAGTGTATGAATATAAAGAAGACTGTTTAAATGTTTCACATCATTGTAAAGTCATATTTGTATTGTACTATAATTACTATGTATGCCTTACTTTATAAAGTACTTTGTAAAGTAAGGTATTGTTACCATTGTTATATATGTTATCATTACTAATGTATAATTTCATCAATATAACATTATTGAATGTTATAGTCATTGTTATGTATATTAATATCATTATTTATTTATTTATTTATTTTTAAGTGTGTGGGGGTACCGGATATTGAACTCAGGGGCATTCAACCACTGAGCCACTCCCCAGCCCTATTTTGTATTTATTGAGAGACAGGATCTCACTGAGTTGCCTAGTGCCTTGCCATTGCTGAGGCTGGCTTTGAACTTGTGATCCTCCTGCCTCAGCCTCCCGAGCTGCCTGGGATTACAGGCATGTACCACTGTACCGGCTAATCATTTACATTTTAAAATATAGGTAACTTGACCCTCCAAGTCAGTGATTTTTTTTTTTTTTTTAACTGTGCTGCAGTTCAAACCCAGAGTCTTGTGCCTGCTAGGTCATACTCTATTACTGAACTACATATCTAGCCCAAGTCAGTGATTTTTTTTTTTTTTTTAATGTGCTAGGGATTGAACCCAGGGTCCTTTATCTGAGTTACATTACATCTCTTTTTACTTTTTTTTTTTTAATGATTTTTTTAAATTTTTTTTTTTAAAGAGAGAGAGAGAGAATTTTAATATTTATTTTTTTAGTGTTCGGCAGACACAACATCTTTGTTTGTATGTGGTGCTGAGGCTCGAACCCGGGCTGCACGCATGCCAGGTGACCGCGCTACCGCTTGAGCCACATCCCCAGCCCCTCTTTTTACTTTTTTGAGACAGGGTCTCAAAAAGTTGGCCATGCTGGCCTTGAACTTATTTTTCTTCTGCCTATGTCTTCTGAGTCACTGAGATTATAGTCATGTGTCACCATGCCTGACTTTAAGTCATTGTTTCTTAAAGGCTTTAATGAGCTGCTCCTACTGATAGAAATATATTTTATCACTCTTAAGCATTGGGAATGCAGTTTAGTAACTAATGTCTTTGTGGGGAAATGATCCACATTATCATGAGGCATTATTTGATGGCATTTCAGTTACCTGAAATGAAATCACTGAAAAATTTCCTGCTTCCATTGAATATGGGAGCCACATCCCCAGCCCTTTTATATATTTTACTAGAGATAGGGTCTCGATGAGTTGCTTATGGCCTTGCTAAGTTGCTAAGGCTGAGTTTGAACTTTTGATCCTGCTGCCTCAGCCTCCCAGTCACTGGGATTATAGGCATGTGCCACCGTGCCTGACACTTAGTCCCTTTTTGTGTTTTGGGACAGGGCCTCAGCTAAATTGCTGAGGCTGGCTTTGAATTTGCAACCCTCCTTTCTCAGCCTCCTGAGCCACTGGGTTTACAGATGTGTGCCACCCTGCCCAGTAAGAATTTTCATTTTCAATGAAAGGTTTTGCATTGTGTCTCACTGTAATGATTGAGATATATAAGAATTTTATTATTGGAAAATTAACCCAAAATTTGTGAGAGGAAAAATATTTCTGATCTTGTTGAGTAATACAACTAAGCAAAACTGTTCTGATAACTTCTTTACCTATGCTGAGTTACTGTAATGAATTACTGAGTATGGAAATTATTTTATTGTAACTCAATCAAATCCTGGCTAACCTTTTTCTACATTTTAATGTTGTTTGTTTCTAATTATTTTGTAGCCTATTCCTCAACCAGATCCTTTGCACAGTAATGAAGAAACACATGATCAAGTGCTAAAAACCAGATTAGAAGAAAAAGATGAACACCTTGAGGAAGGACCCATGATAGAAAAACTTAGCAAAATGTTCTTTACTACTAAGCATCGTTGGTATCCTCATGGACAGTAAGTTTTATTTTCTTTCTTCAACTCTGACTACATACACTAAAGGAACATGTAACTATCCTTGCATTAACAATTTCTGAAATGGTACTGCACGAGAAAGTTAACCCCAAGTACAATCACATATTATATTGTATACCACCCTCCCTACCGCCATCCCCGTACTGAGGACTCAACCTAGTACCACTGAACTGTGTCCCTAATCCTACCCTTTATTTTTAAGAATTTGAGACAGGCCTTTTACAACATTACCAAGACTGGCTCCAAACTGTGATCTTACTGTGTCAGCCTCCTGATAGAAATATCAAGACAATCTGCTCCACTAAGTTCTACACAATCCCTGTTTGTAAGTTTGGGTATTTGGGTAAATAGCTGGATTACCAGCATGCACCACCATGCCCAGCTATATTATAGTTTTATATCAATATATATACTATAGTTAAATTGAAATAATGCTTTTTTAGCAATATTATGTTTTTATATCAATATATATATATATATATATATTATAGTTAAATTGAAATGCTTCTTTATTTTTCTTTATTTTAATGAGAGAATTTAAACAAAGCTTTCTGTGAATTTTATAAAAGGCCTTGAAAATTTTATTCTATGATAGTCATTAATTAATGTGTGATTTTTATTTAGCTTCCTAATAAGAAATTAATCTCGTTCTCAGCCCTTTATCTATTCTTTTAGTAGACTGAGTTGTTGCAAAAATAATTGGGATGCAGCACACAATTTGGCAATAAATATTGTTTTCAATTCTCTTGCCTTTCTCTCATCAACTCTTATCCTCTATCTCTGGCTTTAATTTTCATATTTTGAATCATTTTCTTTTCTTGTGGTGTTAGGGCCTAACATATAGTGCTTTTATGCTTAGCTATACTCCAGCTCCAAATCTTCTCTCTTTCATGTCTATTATCTTCCAGACTAAACTATGAGGGCATTTGGTTTATAAATATAAACAGTGTTTGTTTGAGCAAACTTTGTTCTCATTCACTTGTGTAACTGCCACTGGGCTGGCACACTTATAGCAGGATACATTTATGGAACTAACAAATATACATTCATCAGTCTGTTCTAGTGCTGGGTGCGGTGGCATACACCTGTTATCCCAGCATCTCGGGAGGCTGAGGTAGGAGGATCATGAGCTCAAAGCCAGCCTCAGCAACAGCGAGGTGCTAAGCAACTTAGTGAGACCCTGTCTCTAAATAAAATGCAAAAAAGGGGATGTGGCTCAGTGGTTGATTGCCCCTGAGTTCAATCCCTGGTATCAAAAACAAAACAAAACAATCTGCTCCACTAAGTTCTATACAATTCCTGTTTTTAAGTTATTTATACTCAAGGAGTGAAGATAATGAAGTAAATACACAATTAAAATCAAGGGTGATTAAGCCTCTTGAAGGATGGCTCAGCGATACCTACGGGAGTGGGAGAAAGCTCCATAGGCAGAAGAGACAGCAAGTGAGATAAAGTATGCTGGGGAAGTTACCAATAGTTCATATTGGATGGAATCTAGAATATGTGGAGGAATATAGAAAGAGTATTGTGAAGGAGTTTGTGCTGAGCAGTTTTAACATGTGAACTGACTTGTACATCATTTATACATTAGAAAATCATTAAGAAGGCTCTGTATTTGGGATAAAGTGATACAAGGAAAGACTAGAGTTAGGGAGACCTGTTAGGAAACTATTAACAGAAGTCTGGTGAAAAATGTTGATGATCTAAATGGACTACCACTGAGAACAGAAAGAAGGAAAAATGAAAGAAGATTGGTATTTAAGAACTTTAATCAGCATTAGTAGATGCATGGTAGGGAGAGAGGGAAGAGATAGGAGGCCTCTCTGACAGGGGTGTTTGGGTAGATAGTGATGCCATTTATGTGAATGGGGAAACAAGTTTGGGAGTAAGGAGGATGAACCCACAGTTGATTGAGTTTGAAGGGCCTGTGGATCATCTGGTGGGGAACAGTTCTAAAGGGATAGATCTAGGGATTCTGGAGCTCTGTTCACTTTTTAGTTTAAAAGAAGCGTCTTCCCTTAACTTTAGTTATGACAGAGATTCTCCAGGGTACTGCTTTTTATTGTACATCTTGGTGAAATTCACTCTGAGAGTTTTAATTATAGTTGCTGTGCAGCCTGTTCTGCCATGTTTTTTTCCTCAGTCTTATTAGCAGTATCATCATCCTTAGAATATTTCAAACAACTTCTTTCCAAAGTTTTTCATTCATTAGAATAAAACAAAGTCTTTTCCTGTCTAAAAAAGCCCCTCTTTTAACAATCTCAATATTAAAGGTGATATTTCTATGTCAATTTCCCAAGAAAAAAATTTGTGTTTTGTTTTTGTTTTTGTAATGACCAACATGGTCTTTCAATTCCTGCTTCTATTTTTTATCTCCTTCCTTGATTCCTTGATTTTTTTTTTTTTTTTAAACTTAATACTCAGTTTTTATGCATGCTATCTGGGTCTGTACCTATCTTTGTAATTGTTAGGGTTTTGTAAATGTTAGGGTGTATGAAAACAAATTAGCAAGCATTTCCATACTATATTTAAATCATTAAATCATTACTATATTTTAAGATTTATTTCCATGATTTACAACGTCTCTTAAAGTTTATCTTTTAGTTTTGTCATGTTATCCAGATATTTCAGTTAAGCCTAACCCTGAACTTTGGTAATGGCTTTTAGTATTTGTTGCCTTCCTCTATGTCTCATATTGCTACAATCTTTTGTAATCGTTGCTCATAGCCAAGTCACTGAGGATACGAAAATCCTCTGAAGGGAAGAAAGACTAAAGGCAGTATTAGGAATCTTAAAATCAAATATGTGTTTCAAGAGTTTTTATTTATTTATTTATTTATTCCTTTTTGTGGATGGATCACAATTTGTTTATGTTCCAATTATGAACATTTTGAGTACTTCTCAGTATTTGGCTCATATGAATAAAACTGCATAAATGTTTAAGTCATGGTATTGACATGTTTTCACTTCTGGTTTTTTTTTGAGTTTAATTTTTCTTCTTTTTTTTTCAATTTTTTTTAGTTATAGGTGAACACAATATCTTTTTATTTTATTTATGTGGTGCTGAGGATCGAACACAGGGCCTCACACATGAGAGACGAGAGCTCTACCACTGAGCCCCAGCCCCAACCCCTCTTGTTTTTTTTTTTTTGTTTGTTTGTTTTTTTAATACCAGGAATTGAACTCTGGGGCTTATCCAATGAGCCACTCCCCCAGCCCTTTTTTGTATTTTATTTAGAGACAGGGTCTCACTGAGTTGCTTAGCACCTCGTTAAGTTGCTAAGGCTGGCTTTGGACTTGCAATCCTCCTGCCTCAGCCTCCCAAGCTGCTGGGATAACAGGAAAGCACCATTGCTCCTGGCTATGTTTTCACTTCTTTTGGGCAAATCCCTGTAAGTAAGATTACTGGGTCATATGATAAAAAAAGACACATTTAAATTCAGTAGAAACTGTCAAAGTGATATTTCCACCAGTAGTAAGTGTGAGTTCTACTTGTTCCACATCCTCCCTAACACTCGGTATTATTGTCTTTTTACTTTAGTCATTCTGTTGGGTAAGTAGTAGCGATTAATTGTGATTTTTAACTTATGTTTCCCCAATAATAATGATGTTGAACATTTTTTCATGTGGCCATCTGTACATTTGTAGTGGGTATTTGTGTATGTGTGTGTGTGTGTGTGTGTGTGTGTGTGAGAGAGAGAGAGAGAGAGAGAGAGAGAGAGAGAGAGAGAAAGAGAGAATTGTCTGTACAGATGAGTTGTCTTATTAAGATATAGGACCCGTGGATTGAAGTACTGTGTGAGCTGTGTGCTTTATAAATATTTTCTGTCTGTGGCTTGCCTTTTCATTTCCTAAATAGCTTTTGAAGATACTAGTGTTTTTTAATTTTGATGATGTTTAATTCACAAATTTTTCCTTTTGTAGTTCAGGAGTTTTATGTTCCACTTAAATTCTACCTAACCCAAGGTCACTAAGAATTTCTTCTAGAAGTTTTATTTGGGTTGATTTTTATATACAGTGTGAGGGCATTAGTTGAGGTACCTTTTTTTACATATGCATATCAGCTATTCTAGCATCGTTAGTTGAAAATATTATGTCCCTTTCCATTAAATTGGTCCAACTCCTTTGTTGAAAGTCAGTTGACCATATATGTTGGTACTGGTAATCTTGTTCAATTAATCTCTATTTTTACAGTAAATAAGTTTTAAAATCAGGTAAAGTCCTCTGTATTGTTATTTCTTCAAATTTTCTTAGTCATCCTATGTCTTTCGCATTTCCCTATGAATTTTAGAGTCAGCTTATCAATTTATAAAAAGCTTGGTAGGATTTTAAAGAGTGTTGAATTCAGTCTGCAGATCAATTTCAGGAGAATTAATGTCTTATCAATATTCAGTCTTGGGGCTGGGGTTGTGGCTCAGTGGGAGAGTGCATACCTGGCATGTGTGAGGCACTGGGTTCAATTCTCAGCACCGCATTAAAAAAAAAATAAATAAAATAAAGGTATTGTGTCCCATCTACAACTAAAAAATATTCAGTCTTATCAATATTCAATCTTCCTATTGAAAATGGCATATTTTTTTGAGACAGGGCTCACTGTGTTGGTCAGGCTGTCCACAAATTCCTGGACTTAAGCAGACCTGCCCTCTCAGCCTACTGAATGGTACTATAGGGGCATATCATGGTGCCCATATATAGGATTTTCTTCTTTCTTTCTTTTTTTTTTTTTTTGTGGGGGGTGGATACTGGGGATTGAACTCAGGAGCAGTCATCCACTGAGCCACATCCCCAGCCCTATTTTGTATTTTATTTAGAGATAGGATCTCACTGAGTTTCTTTCTTTTTTTTTTTTTTTATAACTTTTTTTTTTAAAGAGAGAGAGAGAGAATTTTTTAATATTTATTTTTTTTTTAGTTTTCGGTGGACACAACATCTTTGTTTGTATGTGGTGCTGAGGATCGAACCTGGGCGGCACGCATGCCAGGCGAGCGCGCTACCACTTGAGCCACATCCCCAGCCCCATCACTGAGTTTCTTAATGCCTTGCTTTTCCTGAGGCTGGCTTTGAACTCACAATCCTCCTGCCTCAGCCTCCAGAGCCACTGGGATTACAGGCGTGTGCTGCCACACCCTGCTAGGATTTCTTAATAGATGATCATAGGACCTATGAATAAAGGCAATTTTACTTCTCTTTTTATAGTGCTTCTTGTTTTGTTTTTCTTATTGCTTAGAACCTTAAGTACAATGTTGGGTAAACTGCTGAGAACAAATATTATTGTCTTTCCCCCAGTTTTAGTGAAGGAAGGCACTGAATCTTTTAACATCAAAAAGTCTAGTGTTCAGTAATAGGTCTTTATGTAGATGCCTTGATCAGGTTCAGGAAGTCCCTTCTAGCATAGTTCTAGGGAGTCCCTAGCATGGAGAAGTATTTTTGTTTTGATTTGCTTTATCATGAATGGGTGTTGAATTTTCTTGGATGCTTTTTTTGCATTTATTAAGATGATCATTTGGTTTTTCTTACTTTTTAATATAGTCAATTATATTAAATGATTTTAAATAGTAAGTTTACTTTTTATTTCTGGGGTAACTGATGCTTGGTCATGATGTATTATTATTTTTATTTATTGTTGAATTCATTTTGCTAAAATTTTGTGTAGAATGTTTACATCTTTATTAGGGATACTGGCCTGTAGTTTTATCTGTTTTTGGTGTCAGTAATGCTTCCATCAGAAAATAGATATGGAAGTATACCTTCTTCTCCATTTTTCCAGAGGAATGTGTAAAAATTGGATCTTATTTCTTTCTTAAATGTTTGTTAGAATTCACCAATGAAGCCAAATTACAAGTGACACACACTTGTAATCCCAGCAACTCGGAAGGCTGAGGCAAGAGGCTCACAGGTTCAAGGCCAGCCTCAGCAGTTTAGTGAGACCCTAAGCAACTTACTCAGACATTGTCTCAAAATTAAAGAATTAAAAAAAGACTGGGGGCCTGTAGCTCAGTGGTAAGTGCCTTGGGTTTAATCCCCAGGGCCAAAAAAAAAAAAAAAAAAAACAAACCAAGGAATTCACCAGGGAAGCAAGCCATCTGGGTCTGGAGTTTTCTTTATGGGAAGTTTTAATTACACATTTAGTTAGTTTAGTTGATATGTAAAGGCTCTTTAGTTTATCAAAAGTTTCTTCTTGAGGGCACTGTGTTAGTTTGTGTTTTTCAAAGAATTTGCCCATTTCATCTAAATTGTTGGGTTTATTTGCATATTGTTGATCATTGTATTTCCTTATTGTCTTTTAAATATTTTAATTACAGTGATGTCACTTCTCACATTCTTTTTCTTTTTAATTTTTAAAATTTGTTCTAATTAGATGTACATGACAGTAGAATGCATTTTGACACATTGTACACAAATGGAGCATAACTTCTCATTCCTCTGGCTGTACATGATGGAGAGTCACCCCAGTAGTGTAATCATACATGTATATAGGGTAATAATATCTGTCTCATTCTACCTCCCTTCACAGCCCCACATCCCCACCCCTCCCTCTACTCCCCACCTCTCACATTCTTGATATGATTAATTTTGTTGATCTTTTCCAAGAATCATCTTTTTGGTTTTATCAAGTCTACTGTTTTTCTATTTTCTATTTTATTGTTTTTTTGCTCTTTGTTATATCCTTTTAAAACTTTCTTTTGGTTTAAGTAAGTTGTGATCAAAATATCTGGAAATAAATTTGTTCATGCTGGTTATTATGCTCTAGGTATTTTCTGCAACTTACTTTTTCATGTTAGCATGCAGAGGCGTATTTTATTCTTTTCAACTTAATTCTTTTATACATTTTCAAAAAATCATTATCACCCAGCACTGCAAAAAAAAAAAAAAAAATCAATATCAGAAAAATCAGAAAGTTTTCTATATGAAACTTTAAGATAAACAAAACATGCTTAGGTATTTTGATCACAAACAAAACTAAAGAGCATGAGATACATATCTTATCATTTGTGGAATAAAAATTTTTAAATGGAATTTCCACATTAGCAAAAAAGCAAAGAAAATTAACTCCTGACCACCTTGCCAAAAATCTTACTATACGGGAAGTTTTGAAGAGAACTAATCAATCACATTTGTACTCTGTATTTTCTTTTTTAAAATTTACTTTGTTATAGATGGACACAATACCTTTGTTTTATTCATTGATTTTTGTGTGGTGCTGAGAACTGAACCTAGTGCCTCACACATGCTAATAGGCAAGTACTCTACCACTGAGCCACAACCCTAGCCTGTACTCTGTATTTTCTTAACTCAGTAAAGAAAATAAAGAAATATGAAGAAACAAAAAGAAAAATTCTCCACAGTGAAATCACTCAAAAATAATCACTGTTAACAGTGCATTTTTTTTTTCTCTAGATCTATTCATAAGCTTGGTTAGTTGCTTATTTTTACATGGTTGTAATCATATGTGAATTTGCATCATATATCCCTGTCTTAATATTTTAATTATTTTTCTGTATTACTTTAGGACAGATTTCCAGAATAGTGGGTTGAGCCTCCTTAATCCGAAATCCAAAATGCTCCAAAGTCTGAAACTTTTCAAGCACTAATGTGGAAAATTTCACATCATATGTTAAGGATTGTAGTAAAAATGCAGGCACATTAACAATATTATACAAAATTATCTTCAGGATATATGTGTAAGCTGTATAAGAAACCAACAAATTTTTTTGTTTAGACTTGGGTCCTATCCCCAAGATATTACGTATATGCAGCTATTCTAAAATCAAACTATTCCAAAAAAGAAAAATTCCAAAATTTGAAATAGTTCTGTTTTCACGTATTTGAGATAAGGGATGTTCAACCTGTACTAAATGAAGGTTGTGAATATTACCATTCTGCTTTTCAAAAGTATTGCACCAATTAATACTTGAATCAGCCAAGGCTGATTTCACCACACTCATGCTTGGATTAGACATTATAATTTTTAACATATTTGTGATCAGAAACAAAAGTAAACTGTTCCTGATGATATTAAAATATAATTTTGTAGATCAAGTGGCTTCTGTTCAGTTTTTAAAATAAAACTGTAATAGAACATGCTTATGATATAGTGTTTTTTTATTATAAAGACAAATTTTATTATTAGTTTTTAATTAAGGTTACCTTGAAAATGTCCTCAAGATCTGAAAGAAGATTTTCCAAAATGCTTAATTGATAGGAAGCAATTTTCACACTGGGAGAATGTAGTTTATTAAGAAATATCTGAGATGTATCCAAAAATGTATGTATAAAGTTTCATTGATTTTTTTCAAATAGTTCTAATAAAAATAGCAAAATAATCATAGACATTTGAGATTTCTATCAGAAGTAATAAACGTTTACTAAAATAATTTATCTCAGATATATTCTTCTTTTCAAGGTATCATAGACGTCGTAAGAATCCGAATCCTCCAAAAGACAGATGATATTGAGACTCCTGGGAGAATCAAAGAAAAACATTATCTGGTGTCTCATTTGCCATTTGAGAAACTGCAATCTGGTGTATTCACTAATATGTTATTTAGTAATATAATAATAAAATGTCTTTTCATATATTAGAATATGTATTTATTAATCCTGGACTTTACATTTTAGAGAAATGATTTCATTTATTTTCCTTTTGAGATATTAAAGGCTACCACTTATTTTTATGTGTCTAGTATGAGTATTTTTACATCATCATGTAAACATTATCATTAGTATAAATATGGTTAATAAAATATGCATGCTTCTTCTGAAGAAATTTTTCAAATTTATTTTCATTGGTGCATTAGTTTTACCTAATAGTGGGAATCATTATGCTGTATTTGTACATACACATAACATAATTTGATCAGTTTCATTTCAGTGTATCTTCCTTTTTCTCCCTACCCCATCTGCTTGCTCTATCCAATTTAATTGGTACGTTGTAATTATATAGAAAAGCTGTAGTCACTGCGGTTATATTTGTACCCGGACATAGCATAATTTGGTACATTTTGCTCCCCAGTACTTCCCCGTGTCCTCGCTCTTCCCTCCCTCTTGACTTCACGAAGGTGTTTCCAAGTTGCCTTTGAGAATAAACTTACGAAGACAATCCAGAAAATAGATGTTGCAGTGTTTCCATTGGCTTTAGGAAATAATTAACTTAGTTATATTTTAATCAGTTTTTACTGTCTGCTAGACTCTTTGCAAATTTTATTAAATTCTGACAATAATTCTCTTAAGAGGGAGCATCAAGGCTGGGTTGTAGCTCAGTGGTGGAGTGCACATGTGAGGCACTGGGTTCTATCCTCAGCACCACATAAAAATAATATAAATAAAATAAAACTTTTGTGTCCATTGCCAACTAAAAATAGTCGGGGCAGGGGTGGGGAGGTTGGAAAGGAGCATCATCATCATTATATAGATAAGGTTGAGAGTCCTGAACTCTACCTAGCAGACTGGGGAGCCAGGATCCGAACTGCCAGGCTCCAAAACCTTCAGTACGTTGTAATGACAAATGGGTTGATCTCCTTCACCCAAGAATGTATTTTCCTAGAGATTTCTCTAGAAAGAATGTTATATAATTGGTTTTGATTTTTTTTTCTTTTTCTGTCTTAAAAATTACACCAGCACTGGGTACGGTGGTGCACACCTGCAATCATCCCAATGATTCAGAAGGCCAAGCAGGAGGATCACAAGTTTGAGGCCAGCCTGAGTAATTTAGCGAGATCCTTTTTCAAAATGGAAAGGGCTGGACTGGGGAGTCAGCTCCATGGTAGAGTGTTTGCCTAGCATGCATGAGGCCCTGGGTTTGATCCCCAGCACTACAGAATTAAATAAATAAAATGTGAAATAACAAAAACAAAAAAACGCTATGGTTGTGTCTCAAAGGTAAAATACCCTTGAGTTCAATCCCAAATACTGAAAAAAAAAAAAAAAAAAAAAAAAGCTAATTTCAAGAACACATGCAAACAACAGCTGCAGCTCTTGAGATTAAAATGTTTCACCAGACTATAGTGTTACAGCAAAGTACACAGAACCTTGAGAAGCTTTGGTGCCCCTGTTATTTCTGTTGAGCAGGTGAGGAATTTTCAGGAGGGAAAGTGCTTTATTTAGACTTGTAAAATATTTGTGATATTTGTAAAGTTGATGTGAAAAAATAATTTCTGAAAGTCTATTGTTAAATCCTTTTAGTAAAGGAAATTTAGTTGAAGGTCCCAATGGTCTGTAAAATGTGAAGAATGGTGAGTAGGAGAGATCAAAGGAAATAATTAGTAATGGCTACCCTCTATTACTCAAAGGAAATGTTTTTAAGAAGCTACTTTTTAATGAACTATTAATTATTGTGGAAAAAAATTTAAAAAGTTTGATAGAAATTTGATAATCTAAACTATTTGCCGGCTGTGTTGATATATCTTTGCAAAATGGTTCATTTTTTTTTCCAGGTTGGTTTATACTCAAAATTTTAAAAAGGTTGAGATGTTATAAATGTAGAAAGAATAAAAGACTGAAATAAGATAAAATTTTCTTCTACTCCAAAATGCCCAGACCACACACTCATATGTCAAAAGGAGAATTAACTTTGATTTTATTGTACTGGAAATATAGATTAACATTGTAGTTGATAGGATTTGATGTTCATGGGTTGCTGATTTTTGTTTTGCTAAACAAATAAACATTCCACCACCAGCATCACCTCCCCTGTTCTTCCCACCCCCAACCCCAGGAATAGAAATCTGCATTCACCCCCAACCGCCACTCGGGTACTGGGAATTGAAACCAGGGGCACTTTACCATGGAGCTACATCCCAGCCCTTTTTTATTTTGAGGTAAAATCTCACTAAGTTGCCCCTGCTGGCCTCAAACTTGCACTTTTGATTTTCCTACTTCAGTCTTCCACATTCCTGGGATTTCAAGTGTATACAATCGTGTCTGGCATCAATAACATTTTTATGAAATGTCCACTTACTTGTTTTAGCAGACACTTAAAAATTACATATAGTGGGATGGGCCTTCACACTGAAAAAACAGCTTCACGAAAAACTATCCAGTTCTCACATTTCCATGGATGAGGAGTACCACTACCTCAAACGTACAAAGCAGGATTGTTAGAACCACCAGAGGGCACTCTCACATAGGATTCAATTTGAACATCTCATCCTAAGAGTGACTGCTGAAAGCAATTAGTAGAGATTTGAGAATACATTAGTTTCTGCATATGAAAGAAAACATAGTACCCTTGACTTTCTGAGTCTGGCTTATCTCACTTAGAGATCACTTTTCTGATCACTTATCAGATGTTCTCATTATATTCTCCTGCAAATGACATAATTTCCTTCTTTATGGTTGAGTAAATCTCCACTGTGTACATATAACACATTTTCTTTATCCATTTATATGTTGATGTCTAGTTTGGTTCTATAACTGGGTTATGAATTGTGCTGGTATAAACATGAGTATGCATGTATTGCTATAGTATGCTGACTTTTGGGTAAATACTCACAAGTGGTATATATAGCTAGATCATATGGTGGGTCCATTTCTAGTCTTTTGAGGAGCCTCCATACTGATCTCCATAGTGGTCTGAGGCCATTTTTTTTCATTCTGTTTATCCACCAGATATTTATAAAACTTCAAATTGTGAAGAATTCTGCTTTTTGGTTGGTCAATAGCAAAAAATGATTTCTTCTTAAGACCATAATACCTTTTGAATAATTCCTACTGAGCAACTTATAAATTTTTTTAATGACATTGTTTCCCAATCATGAATGTAATTCACTATTATTTTTAAAAATTGGAGACTAAATAGAAAAATAATTGCCCCATCCAAAGACAGCATTGTTAACATTTTTAGGTACCTTTTTTTTATTTCTCTGCATAAATATATTTTAGAAATAAAAATAAAATAGGGCTTATTATGCATGCTGTTTTGTAACTTGCTTTTCTCACTTAATATGAATTTTTCCATATCATTAAATACTCTAATTTTATTGAGTACATATTCTATAATATGTATTGTCATAATTTAATTAACTTCCTGCTGTTAGACATCATCATTATTTCTGTTTGCTCCATGTTATAAATAATGCCATTACTAACATCCTGGTAGATCATTCCAGACTATTTTCTTAGATTAATTTCTCTAAGTATAGTTGTTGAATCAAAAAGCATGCACACTACATGCATTTTTAAAATTTGTGGTTTAAGAGGATGAGGGGAGAGGGGAGGAGATGGTGAGGGAGATATTGAGGAGTGAAATTGATCAACTTTTTATGCATATACAAATATGCTACAATGAAGCTCATCATTCTGTATAAATATGATGTACCAATAAAAAATGTGGTTTAAACTTTATACTTCTGACAGCAATATGCAACATTTTCTCTACACTTGTACTAAAAATTTAAAATATCTTCATCAGTTTAGTAGGCAAGGAATGGAAAATGATTTAATTTTCATCAGCCGCTTTAAATTTAGTATGTCTGGGGGCTGGGGATGTGGCTCAAGTGGTAGTGTGCTCGCCTGGCATGCGTGCGGCCCGGGTTCGATCCTCAGCACCACATACAAAACAAAGATGTTGTATCCGCCGATAACTAAAAAATAAATATTAAAAATTCTCTCTCCTCTCTCACTCTCTCTTTAAAAAAAAAAGTAGTATGTCTGACTTAAAAGAGTATGAAATGTAACAAGTTTAAGGTCCTAGCTTAAATGTCAAGTTCAAGAGAACTCTTGTGGCTCCTTAATTTCCTTAATAGCACTTCTTAGCACTTTTCTACAATGTTTCTTCTGCCTTCCCCCAGAAAACATCCCTTAGATGTCTGCAAGAATTTCAGTTCTTTAGAGGAACTGGGTCAGTTTATGTATGTGCAACACTAAATTTCTCCATATCACTTAAAGTTTGTTTGGCTTCTTTTGTTGTGGGTACTTTTTATTGTTGTTTGGTTTGGTTTGGTGTACTGGGGATACTGGGGATTGAACCCAGGTGTGCTGTATCACTGAGCTACATCCCCAGCCCTGATTATTTTTTTACTTTGAGACAAGGTCTCATTAAATTATTTAGGGCCTTGCTAAGTTGCAGAGGTTGCCCTCAAACTTGGAATCCTCCTGCCTCAGTCTCCTGAGTAGCTAGGATTACAGGCATGTAGCATCGAACTCAGATGTTGTTAGGCATTTTGCATGTGATTATTTGATAACTGTCTATCTCCTCTCCTAGGTTATAAATTCCATGACTTCCAAAGACTTTGTATGATTATGAGTATCAGTGTTCCTAATTGCCTGGCACCTTCATTGATCCACAGACTGAGTCAAGTTTTGTAAAAGAAATTGCTCTAGTACAGAGGATTTTAACCCAAGGATTCCATGAATGGGATTTGGGATGGGAAATATCTATGAAACTCTTGGAAGTGTGTAGAATTTCCAGACTGTTTTTGTTTTCCTGGGGACAGGTTCTGTTGTCTTCCTGCAGCTCATGGAGGTCTGTACCATGTCATTCCCTGATTTTTACTTGCTATGCACCTAGTAATTTTAGAACTGAAATAATACTGATAAGTGAGATGGTTTCCACATATTCCAGGAGGCCTCTTTGATTATATTTCAAGTCTTTTTTAAAAAGAAGCTAAGATATCATGTTCTTTCATTTTGGATGTCTTCTGGGCACCTCAGGCAAACCCCCATCCCAAATACTTTTCCAGTTTTAGATGTATCTTTTTTATTTCCAGAAATAAGTCAAATTGACTATCATCCCTCAAACAATAGTAGTTAGTAAACTATTTTATTTGGTAAAGCATACATGGATGTTTCCATTACTTTTAGGGAAAGGGAATGATGCCTTAAATTTTTTTCATCAGAAGTTCAAAATAACTTCTTACCAAAGCAATTTGCACATATTCTAACTCCAGAGAAAAAAATTCCCCATTGAGCTTAGCCATTAACCCCCTACTATTATTTAATGTGTTGTTTAACCTTCTGAAAGTGAGAATGTTTTGACTGTACTAGGAAGAAATACTCAGGAAGAATATGAAATGTGCTTTTTACTTTTGCACAATGGCACTCATTTTTATTTAGTAACACAATCTCATATTTTTTATAGCCTCCTTCGGCAGAAAACCTGGAATGCTTCAT